TTTTTCACTGAAATCGTCTGGCAAGGCTAGCAATCATTGCGTATAATGATAATTACAAAATTTAATTAACTACTTTGATATAGAATATTTCATAATAATGGTAATAATCATGGTGATAGTAATGGCAATATAGTAATAGTAATGGTAATAATATTATTTGGTTTGTATGTTCATTGTACATACATCTTGTTGAATAAAATATTATTTCAAGTTAAAAGTTAAATGAAAAAGTTACTAAACCGACGCAATCCCACAGCCTAAAAACACACACACCATATTGGAAATTACGTCGTGCACGATATACTAACACAATGCCAGCCGCTTATTAATTATTATTCTTATGAACTAGGTCATCGTGCCCATTGCCTTTACCCATCCAAGTAGCACCTGGGCACGTGAATGGGCTTTGACAATAAACACGGAAGGGGTTAAACCTGAAAATCCTGATCTGGAAACATGATTAGTACATAAACATCTAACGGGCTAATATTTCACTATTTTAATAAAAGTGACTCGACTTTGTAAATATAAAGCTTTAAGAACAAATACTGAAAAGCAAAATAGAGCAACTATGACGCAAACATGGTGCACTGCTAATATCAGCTGGCAACGAAGGGTCTCACGCCCCCTAGACTTGCGCCAGACGCTACATACCACCCACCCCGCCTGGACGTCGTAACGCCAGGACAGAGTGCACCCCTTCGCTAAGAGCGCTACCCGCCCGTCCAACACGTTGCATCCAACGGTGTCAGATTTGCGGACGCCCATAGTATAGACGAAAGGACTACAGTTTAGAATATGGTAACATATTTTCATATGTTCCGTATTCTAAAGCTGCGCCTGCAAAGGCCTAGTAATGCATGGGTATATCTCCCAGAGATGGTGTTCACGGTCTTATGCCGCGGAATCCTTGTAACTAATTTGATTAATTAAATAATACATAGGATTGAGATTAAAAACCAAAAGGATTCCCACCGAATACTAGTCAGTGCATCGTCATATTTACTCTCGCGTCGGAAATTTTTCGCAACACTAATTTAATAAATGCAAAACTCTAATGGAAAAGAATTTAATCTGAAAATTGAACTTGGTTCTTTATTAAAAGCAAAATGACTCTAATTAAGAATTCTTTGCAATGAAAAATGAATTTACTGTAAAAATTAATAAAACATTCAAACATCCTCGGGCGACTCCCTCCTCAGAGTAAATTTTCAAGAATACGCAAAATGTGTTGAAATAGATCACTCTGACTTGGAAATCTACCCGTCGCGAATTGTCTTCTTGCACACGAATTGTTCAATTTTTCATGAACGTATAAATAAGTTAAATTTCGTGATAGAATGAATTGAACTTTACTACTCGTAAAAATTATATTTGAATTTATAATATACAAAATGTAATTAAATCAACGTAAAAGCATCATTAATATGTATATCCACTATACATATTATGTAATATTATCAATATTATATCGATTTCAATCGTATTTGACTTTTTCACTATAGAAAAACTAAATAAAATTGTTTATTAAAATATTTCATATTCCACACTTAAAAACATTTAAGAACATTTAAGAACATTCATATATTTCATAAATATCTATTGGAATATGTGAAATTGAAATGATACTAAAACGCGGAGTACAAGAAGATCTAGCCTAAGCTAAATGAAATGAAACACAATAAAAATATTATTATACTACTCATGAGTATAATCATACCCATGGTCACTATGCTCACCAAACACATATACAACCAGTAACCCGTGTCGATTCGGACCATTTGTCCTACGACAGGATTGGGCACTGGAGGAACCATAAAACATGCGACTCACCGTTCGCAGATATACTCTTCTTCCGACAGTCAAGAGTAGGAGGATGCCCAACAGCTAAGTAGCTGGTTGCCTTATAGAAGAAGACGGAAGTTGTGAAGAAAGCCATCAGGATATCCAGGAACTCGGCAAAATAATAAAAATTCATCTGTAACAAAACAAAAAAGAATTACGATTAATTTTGCAAATTATCAATCTTTATTCTAATAAAATTATGTATGAATTTGGATTTTATAAAATATTAGCAATAGCAATTAAAAGAAACTCTGAATTATCAAGTATTGAAATCAATATCTATCAAATAAAAAAAACAATACGAATTTATGTAAATAAAATTTAATCAACAATAATAAAGTTATTATTAATAAACGATCGAACTATAATTGATGCAAAATATTTTAATAGATACAATACATACCTACCACTTATGCGGAAGGATGCTCTCAATACGTCTTGTCGCTTGGACATTCACGATCGGCTCCGCTTCGGCATTCTTCGGTAAATTCCGCTATCGGCCGATACCTAACCAAGCACACGAACAGGTCTAAACAGGAATAATATTACGATCTCAAGAAAGGACGTTATTAAACTAAAAACAACAAATTGTGTAAAGCAGTACTAAAAACATTCAATAATGTTTAGGAATTTAACGATATAAAAGAGAAAATAATTCAGATTCTGCTGTTCCACTCTTATTGTGTATTCGCGGCGAGAGCAAAAATTTTCAACTCAAGTATTTTTGAAGAAAACGTCGAATTAATGTTAAAAATCAAGAATTCGGACTTCTCTTCGATGTTTCTTTCTGTTTTTTGTACTGTTAACACCCGATCGGCAATTTAATTTAATATCTGAAGATAATTTAACCTTACCTGTTGCAGACACGTGCCAAACGGACGAAGCTTCGAAGAGGACTGTTACACTCCACCACACTCCGCGCGACAAACCCTTCAACGATGAATCTGATTGGTCTAAATAGGAGGACGCCATAATGGAACGACCAATCACAGGCATTGGTAGAAACTTCGAATTGCTTTGATACTTTAACATTAAAAGAACGGAAAGATTCGTTGAAAATTATCAACGCCATATTGAAATACGGTCAAGATTACTTTTTTCACTTTAAAGCACCGAAATAAGAAACAAGATAGAAAAATACATAAGATAAGATATTAATGGTATTTAATAAATTATCACCATAAAAGCAGAATAAAGGAGAAATATGTTATTTTAATTCGTATCTGTATCGACAAAATAGGGTATAAGTTTTCAGCTTACGCATTTCTGAAGACAATATGTAAATGATGTCAGAAGTCACGACTCCGATCTTCTCTTCAACTTTGTCTTCTGTTTCTTGTATTTTTGATACCTAATACACAATTTAATCACATACACGAGCTGCGAATGATGCGCTGTCGAGCATACTAAACGAATGAACTGCGCCCTACAGAAAAAACGAGGAACTAAATCTGTGGTCTGTTTTACCTACGGCTAGATGACGCTGGTTGTACTATTCTTAGAGCTCACAGTCATTTAAATTTAAACAAACATAAAAATAATTTCAACACATTACTTTTAATTTATTAAATTATTATTTCTGCTTCATAGTTATATAAACTATCACTGTACTGTTTAGTGAATAATGTTCTAAAATCAATAAGTTAATTAAGTGGAATTCTTTCCATCTTCTTTTTTAATTGTTAATGTCCTAAATGCATTTTAATGGAATTTAAATATTGAAATTTACATGTATATATGCGTTGAATATAAATTTATTCGTGTAGAAATTTGGTCTCCTTTGTGGCCTAAAAAAAATCAATGCCTATCAATGTTCTGAATTTTAATTGCTGTCATTAATAATGCTATGATAAAATCTCATTCTAAGAATACAATTTATGAATTAATAATCTTGTAAATAATTCCTACTGAAATATTATGAATTCTATAGGATTCTACATATTTAAATGTAGATACACTAACATAAGCTCCCTGATATCTACAGATGGTTCGTTCGATGCTTTAATTCAAATAAATAATATGTAAGGAACAACCTGTTTCACGCAGAACTTATAACAATTTGAATGGATGACTAAATATTTTACAGTAGCGAAACGGCAAAACCTTCGAAGCTGCGGTTTTCTATAACCGAAGGTTACTCTTTTTACACGAAGATATCAAGTACTTATTTCATTCGCGAAACCACATGAACGGCGAGTGGAAATCTATGGTATTCGCATAACTTGCATACCACAGTTAAAGCAGTGCAGGTGTTCGCATTGCTGAGCTACAAATAGAAGCATGAAGGATATAATAAACATTATTTTCTTTTTATAAAATTAACAGTCAGGGTACTATAATATTTTATCAGTAATAAGATGATATCTTTAAATACTATTCTCCTTCTAAATCACATAAACAATTTCAAAAATTTACAAATGAGACCATAGAACGTTATTGAGCTCAAAAAATATTTTAATTCCAATATATTATAACCAATTGAATCCTGGACGTGTATGCTACATCCCGAAGAAATTCAACCTAATCAAGTCCAAAGTCATTAATTACTTCAATTAAATATTTAATTTCTCCCTCTAAATTTCCCTAATTAATTACACATTAAATACCCAATTAATCCTCCAATATCACCTCCTCACGTAGAAACCAAAAAATCCAACAATGAGACCATAGAACATCATTAAGCCCCCCCCCCAAAAAATCCATCCACTCATCAAATTACCATCACCCATTTCCCTCATTCCGTCCCACTAAACTCGGACCTATACCGTTTCGTCAACTGGTATGAAGACCCAGTTGAAGCAAAAGTGAAAAGCAGCCAATAAGTCAGACCTGGTCCCCGGGGGTCCCGTACGAGGACAATGGCCGGCGATTAGATGACCCGTTTGGGGTTGTCCTATTGGTGCATTTGGGAGTCGTGGTATGCAGCTGAGCACACCTGTGTACAGGTAGCCGATGGCGAACAAGACGGTTCACGAAAGTGCGCAGGTAGACAGAGGACATCGACGGGTAACAAAAGGGGACTCCACGAGTCACCTGTAACGCGTGTAACGGTACAGAGGATCGTACAGTGGCGCCGAGCGTCGCCGGGAAGAACTAAGGTGTTCTTAGGCGAGGTCGAACAGCCGCATACCACGATCCAGAATCGCGTCGAGAACGCAGTCGGTGTGTCCGGTCGTCCGGGAACGCTTGAATCGTCGAAAGGAAAACGAGAAACAGTGGAGGAGTCCTGGAACCGTGTCCAGGCTCATCCTGCAGAATAAAAGTTCAAAGTGACCACGCGTGGAAATACCTGTGCTGATCGAGGATCCCCGGTCGCGTCTCAGTTTTTCCTCTCCGTTTCACTTCTCCTTTCCATCGGTCCCTTTGTTCCCATCCTCGTGGCTGGATCGCGTGTACATCGTCAGTGAAACCTGAGAGGTGACGTCGCACCATCGTCTGGAACAGAAAATCAAGGGAACCATAGTCAGGAAAACGGAAGGGTGCAAGGGGAAGCTTCTAAAGTGAGTAGAGAAGGAATGGTACGCGGAGACATCAACGAGTGGTTAAGACATGCGCTTCTCACGCGTCAGACGCGTTCCTCGAGATAAGCTCCGATCGATTTTAAAATGGCGCGGTGCACCGTGACACCCAAGCTACGCCAGGTATTCCGTCGTCCGGATGCTGCGAGACAACGAATGCCATTGGACCCTACCTACCAGGACCGTATCCTTTCGCTGCCATAAACGTGGAGTCTCATGCGTGATCCCTGTGTCACGTTGCCGATCGAGCCAGACCAGTCGCTCCTTCCGAGACAACGGCATTCCTCACCCGTGCAGACTGCACGGATTTTATTCATTTTACCCGGCCATGTCGTAAACATAGTGAATGTTTATTCACCCATCGGCGAATAAAAATGTTTCATGGGAAAATATGTCATTTTTGTTATGCAAAAAATTATTTATCATTCTTTATATCTAAGTGTGAAGCTTTATCTTTTTAATCCTCGAACGACGGACCATGGAGAAAGCCTTTAAAAATTAATCTTCCAATATATGGAACTCTTTTATTTAAAAATTATACATTTAGCTTTAGCTTAATATCCTTGCATATGTTTTGTAAGTTTGGGTCTCAGTTGACCCAGGCTCCACTGTTTAAGGGTTAAAGTTAATTTCCAAAGGTTTATAATGTGATTAGTACAAAAATTTGATCATTAATATGTTACTTTATGGAATGTTTTAACTTATTACTGAGGTCCTAAATATTTTAATTAAATTCTTTTTGTAACAAGACCAAGATACAGTTCGATCTAGTTGCCCGATTAGGCGAAAGTATTCAAGGACAGTGAATCGTGTGACCTCTTCGCTGTTGCTGGAGAAAGATACTTGTCCCGTTATTAACATTCATTCATGTCACGCAAAAGTTCGAACGTGGTGAAAAGATATTAGCGGTGAAATATTTAATGGATCGCTAAACGATGCAACGAAGAATGTCTTCCTCATTTAATATTATAAGAAATGTACAAAATAAAAATTTCGAACTTTACAAATTTATAAATTCATAAGAAATACTTATATTCCAAAAAGTCACAATTTTCCATCTTATTAACTTAACTTAACTTATTATCATACAAATGTTTATCTAATTAGTAATAATTAGCACATATATTTTCACGTATAGATTGAAAGCTCAGATTTCATTTGAAATTTAGAATAGGCTCAGACATGAAACTTATTTGCAATTTCCTGTTACTGACAGATTGATTTTATTTATCCTCAACATGCATGATCAGACATAAATGGTTTACGTAAATGGAGAAATCAAAGCAGAATTAAAGAGATAAATACAAAGAAATATAAAGTTTGTATAAAACAGCATTTCAGTTACATCGTACCTACTCTATTGTTAATTACAAATCGTCATTAATTACCTCGTTTGCCACGCTTGTCGCTTTTGAAGCTTCCAATCACTGCATCGATAAGAGAGCAGCCTTTAGGAAGCACTTTCACCGTGAATTTTAACTCGTTTCGTATCACTCGCAATCGAACTTTCAACGAACGGCATAACAACTTCTTCCAATTACAACGCAGCTAATAAATATTTTCACAATCTCGACAATATTTGCGAAATAATCCCGCGGCAATAGAAATCGTACTCGAATTAATTGGTATGTAGAAGCAAATAGATACAGTGTATTATTTCATGAAATTGAACTATTCAATCACTGATTTCATTAATTAGAAATAAAAATCTTCAAACACTATTTTACGTTATTTCAATCGAACATTAATTTAATTGCAATTAAGACACATATGGATTTTTTAAAAATTTGCATCCCATAAAATTTTTTAATTACACAAGATATTATTTATAATGTTGAAAATTAAAAGAGAATATTTAGAAAATTGGAAAAATTTAATTCTTACAAAGATAAGTTAAGAACTATATTGAATGGTGATCACAAATCATCCTTTATTTAATCTTTAAATAGTAGAGTCTGGGTTAAACTTACGAAACATATATTTGCGAGGATATTAACCTAAAAGGAACAGTAAAATTTAGAAGATAATACGAAATACAAAATTGAATTAAAATTGGAGCTCTTTCTATGGCCCGTCATCAAAGGGTTAAAGAGACTGCGTGCAACGTGCATGGTCGTTATTCACAATTGTGCTGACGGAGATAAGTAATCCCTTGCGTGTCTTTTATTTCGATAAAGAAGAGGTGCGATTATGAATTACATAAGATCCTTGTATCACTGTAGTCGAGCTGCTGCTTTCTCTGTCTGACCCCGATACCTCCTCGACGAAACCCTGATTCTCTTCGATGTTAGATTCGGTTTCGTGGCTTTGTCTCACGAAAATCTCTTTCTCGAATTCTTGCTAATGTTAGGCACAGTCTCATCGTTTTTCTTTATAAAATACCTTCCATTTGTAAATTAGATTCCATACCACGGAGAATTAAAAAATTTTCAAATCTTTAGCAAAGACTGATGGTAAAAGAAAATTTAATACATTTTCTCATTTTATTCCCACGTAGATTTACAGAAAATGGATCACATAAAATATTTATATACCTAGTTTTTCTTTCCTCTCATTTCGCAACTTTTTTCAATGGTCAATTTGTCTTGCTGAACGATTTGACAGAAGCAAATTAACCATTTCAACGAAACGGAAGGCAATTTATTCCGTGCCCTGAAAACTTATTTCACCGTATCGTAGCTGCAGCGACGATTTGTCGCTGTAATTTCGTATTATTTTCTGGGACGAGTCCAGCGTTCCATGTAAAGACCTTCTGATTCTAATACCACCAGGTCACGGAATTACAAAAACATTTTTATAACACGCCATTAAAACTGATCTAATTTAACTAGGTATATGCAAATATTAACATACATATATAATTACATTTAATTTTTCATAGATGATTTACTATTTTTAAATGAATATATTGAAATTTAAATGGTAAACAATTTTATCAAAATTGTTCAAAAGTTTGAACAGATGAGAAAATATTAAGACCTGAAGGTTGTAATTCATATCATATGTCAAAATATTGATTTACATAAAATTATTCATCTCAGTCTAATCTGAAATTAAAATGATTCTGATATAAAGATAACGCATAGTGGCCGAAATTTGAATCGACAGAATATGTTCGTGTTAAAATAAGTACAGTGACTTTCATTGAGAATATCAGTAATATTTTAGAAATACTTTTGTAGGTAGGTCAATGACCTGTTAGGCCTCAGGTATCGTCGTATAACAGGTAAATTTTTAATCTTGTCCTCTGAAACCGTAATTATTCGTATCCGTCCAATGGCTTTGTGCTTTTAATATTATATCGGCCGTCACTGAAAGAGGACGGGCGCGTGTTAATTCTTTTTCTATTCGAATTTCTTGTGTGATTTAAATGAATGGCCAGAATTTTTCATTTACATTTCAAGTGAATGTTTCTTTACGTATAATGAGTTGGTTTCATGTGCCGGTTTTAATATTTTTTAATGTTGTTATTGTTTTTGTTAATTGTTGGAGGAAGAATCATTTCATATAGATGCATCCAAATTGAGAATTTGAAATCGATTTAAAATCACAAACACACAATACATTAAAGTTTAATACCTGTCATTTTCAAATTTTTCTAAAATAACAATCTTATAGATCTAGCAATATCTTTAACAATCTTTTGTTAACTAATTCTCTAAATTTAGAATAACATAATATTTGTACATTAAATATTCATATTATAATGTCCAAATTTTAATACATCTAAAAACATGTAGTAGCATCTGCATCTATCAAACTTCTACACTTGTACAAACAATTTATTATTCCCGCTCATATCATCTAAAATTTATAACCGATAATATTCATCAATTTGAAATACCATTACCGATACCGATGATTCACACTTTTCTTTAGCAGACGATTAGATGCGCGTGTACATGATCGAGAGAATCGGTTAAATCCATCAGTAAAAGGACACCTCCTGGTGTCCTTCTCACATTGGAATGTATTTTGCAATCTTATGCTAATTTGGTTAGTCACCCTCGATCGGTCGCCTCTGCTCAAATACACAGCTCACTAGACTCTACGTTTTACTCTTTAGAGTAGTCATGACTGAATATAGCAGAGGCGTAACTCTAAAACACGACGACGGGGAACAATGGCGACGGCAATTTGGCCTTTCGACACCATCGATTGTTCATTGTCCTTTCGTATCCTTAAACGTGTTCCATTGACTAGGGGAAATGGCGAGGATAGTTAGCCAATCACTTTTACAGTGACATTGAAATGTTTATAGCAGCTCGTTAGATGGACAGGATCGATCTGTTTTATCGATGAAGTAAAACACAATCGATTCTATTGTTACATTCGCTCTGATTTAAAATGGTTCAAAGAACTGAAGTGGTTGCAGTAATAACAACGCAGCTTGAGTAAACAAAAAGAAAAAATTCTTTTGCAAACAAGCTGTTCCTTTCAAAATAATTATCCTTCCAATATATGAAGGGTTAATTATAGAAAGTAGCTAATAACAAGTATATGAAAAATTAATAGAAAGAAAACTAGAAAAATGAGTAAATGTAGAAAGCAACGAAAATGGTAAACACATGAAAAATTAATTTAATAACGAAATTCCCCTTTCAAAATAATTTTTTTCTAATATTTGCTTTAGATTCTCGATGACAGAAATTGAATCAAGATGATTGTAACAAGAATGAGATGGAAGATTTTAGATGAACGTAACAGTCGGTGAAATTTCCACTTTCTACAGAGAAATGTTCTTCTCGATTTCAATGATACATAACATTTATTACAATACCAAAAGTGAAGTGATCATCCTCAATATATTTGCTAATTGAATATTAATAATTATATTCAAATAAACAAAACTTGAAATTTTTCAATTCATCAAACTCTAACATGAATAATTTGTCAACTTAGCAAAATTAAAAACTGTGATAATTTTTTTAAACAAATTTCTCAACGTATTGTTCTTTGATCGCGTTAAATTAAATTAGAAGAAAAATACAAATATTAACTTCTTCATTAATCTAAATCTAAATAATCAAACACTATGAAATATTATAGTAATAAATTAAAAAGAAATCCCGACGTTTCGCCACGTTGCAATATTCAGTGAAATAAAATTAACAGTTTCATTCTTTACAAAACACGAGAGTGTTCAATTCACAAGGAAATTCGATTAGCACGCGGTGTTGAAATATTTTATACAAAAATTTTACGCATCGTGGGCTAAACATTTCTTCCACTTTCTCTCGAACAATAAACGGTATTGAACGTTTCAAGCATAGCACGATCGCTAAAGAGAAGAGAGGGAGCCTAATCGTCGTTTCTTCATCTTTTGAAACCGTAAATCGTTTCTTGCGACAGTTCCGGCATTTCAGGAACGCGAACCAGTCGATTTTAATAGTAGTCTCTTTTCGAACGTGTCGAGAGAACAAGAACCTTTTTCTTTGTCCCCAATGATCTTGCAGAAATCGTGAATCATAAGAACGTAACATGGATATCTCAATTTTTTGAATCAAGGTATCGTTTCTTCACGCAAATACGGAACGCTTCGCAACCCTTCCGGTCTTTCTGAAACGCCGTAGATCAATATCAATGACCTACCATTCAAATGATAATTATTTCTTTTATATATTTTACGTATATAAAATAGAATTTTTTTAAATTAATTTAAGTAATCAAAATGGGTATTAGATTTTGCAGATTCTATGCAAAAAATTCTAAGACAATTTAATACTCAGATTTCAAAAATCCATATTTCAGTAGCTCGAACTTAATTCAAGGTCAGCATATTTGACCACGTTGGAATTTGTAAATTCTTCTCGATAGTAAACACGATGTTAAACGATCAATCCTTTCCTATTCCAATCACGTTCTGGAATCTGACTACACGACTGGTATACCTAATCATTCTTTAATCTACTCACTGAAGATGGAAAAACTCGAGCTTCTCTTCTCGGACCGTTGTTTCGCACTTAGGGTTGTCAACGATACCGGAAGTCCAATGATAATCAGACGGTGCACGATGCTTCCGGTTCGTAAACACGAGTTAGTCTTTCCAATCACGTGTTCCCGAAGTCTGTGACGTTATTTGAACGTTTATGATTCGTTTAGTAGGATGTTTTCTTTCGATGCAAAAAAAATTTTATCTTGATGAAATTTAAATTACTTCTGCGAATGAATGGGATTGGTGTTAATTTCATTCATTCATTAATATTCAGTTTTAATGAATGGAGAAAAGGTTAAGGTAGATTTTTGTAAATTGAGAACAGGGATATTTTGCAATTTATTCTGGAGGCATGCGATATTCTAAGTTGGCTGTATGTGTATATGTGTATATATGTTAGACGTATGTTTGTTTTCGTGCAAATGTACGGACACGATGAGAGTTCAATAAATCGGCGATACAATTAACTCTCCTATACATTTATTAATTCCGCTAAACAGCTTCCTACAACTCAGATTAATCAAGATTTTGGAGAATTGAAGTAGATCATGATCAATTAAACTTTAATTGACACCGCTTCGTCTGGTTAATTGAATTTATAATTAACTTTGATTTTTCCGATAATTGGACTTAATTGGATAATTATGATAGACGTCTGCGACACGTTTTTATGATTTAATTGGTCGACTTCCTACAATAATTTTCTAAGTTTACTCGTTGATTTTAATTAGCGACTAGTTGTAATAAAAAAATTGTTTGTTATAGGAAGCGAAGAACAACCTCACCTGCTTTTGCAAAATGAGGGGAGCTTATCTTCTTTGGATAACGCTTTAACGGTATCTCAAGATGTACACCGAGTGGCAAAAGGTGAGCCAATCATTTTACTATTTTTATTTCTTTTCCAAAATATCAATATTATTATGTCCTATTATTAGACAAATTTTCAAGTATTCAATAAAATGACAAATTTTTATAAAAATATTAAATTACATTCTCTGGGTATTATAATTTGCCATATTCTGCAAAATATTATTGAATTTATGAATCAACCTAATCTATCCTAAAACAACTTATTCAACGAAAAATACGTACAAAGAAAACTACTATATTACTGTTTTTATTCAAAAGAGAAATGGTTAGTAACTTTCCTATTGTGTGATAAAAACTTATTCATGCTGCAAAAGAAAATAACATCACGGTGACACGCCTAAATCGCACAAGGGTAAAGGATACTGAAATACATTGTTGCTCGTATAAAAAGAAAAGAAAATAATGAGTAGCTTTCGGTTCATTGTGGCGTTGCACAATATTTACGTGGTCAGGATCGTAGCAGGGATTGTTGCGTGGTCGGAGTCAATGATCTGTGCACACGCAATTGCGTCGCCTTGCGAGCCAGCCACTTTCGAATGCCTCTGCGCTTCGTGTTGCTTCGTCCGACGACCTAATCCCACTCTACTCGCCATTACTCGCCATTATACTACTGCAAAATTTCTACTATTTTGCAAAATTTTACATAACAATATAGAGCATTTGATGATTAACCCTTCGAGCCACTAATTATAAAATTGATGGTAATTAATTTAGCACAGATGATAATTAATTTTAATGAATTTAGTAAATTTTGTAAAATGAAAATTACTTAACATTTTTAGGGTAAATTAGTATTTAGAAAATAAAAAAATGGAAAGTGTCACAAATAATAATTTCATGGGGGAGGGGATGGAAAAGGTTAATTACTGACATTTTAACCTTTTTCCAAATTTTGAAAAATATAATAAATTATATATGACGAAATTTCTATCGTCTGTAGAAAATATCGAATAAAAAGGGTTAATTGTAATTTTAACGTTCAATCTTCACTTTATTTTTATCTATTCTATCAAATACTAATTACTGATTAAAATTTAGAGATTAATTATTTTGCAATATGCTGGAATTTTCAAATTATTTAGTCAAGCTTGAAATTAAATATTCAGAAAAAAATTGTATATAAAATTGAGTAATTAATTCGTTCCGCAAAAGTTAATTTCATAAATGAGTATTATCTTATGTAATAACTTATAGCTGTCTGTTAGCGAACAAATAGGGAACAATTATTTAAATAGAAGAACTCGTGAGAGATGTGACTGAACACAATGACTCATTATGAAACAGTATAAGCTGTTTTCTTTTAAGTAGCAATTACGGTTCGAGTTGGACTAAATGTTCAAAAGAGTCGGGGTTTAAAATTTTTATTCTAAATTTATTAAAAAATATTGAGATAAAGAAAATTGACAAAAATAGCCCGCTAAAGGAAATATGCTACATTAATTATTGCAGATGGAGCAATGTGTTACATTACTTCAATTTTCTATAAAATTGGTTACGCTACTCAACGACGATGTCTTCCTCAATTATTCACCAGCTCATTACTCGTGATTGGACCAGTGTAATACCGTCCTGAGTAAAAGTGAGAACTCAGCTGAATACGTCTGAGTAACAGGGAAACGGTTTCAAATCACTCTAATGACAACGTGTCTTGATTAATCTTAGCTGACTACATAGTGTTTAGATGAAATCCAACAGAAGCTTCATTTTAGTATAAACCATGATTTTTCTTTATAAAACCTTCAATTTTTTTTTTTTTAAATGTAAAATAATAAAATTATTAATTTTTGGATTTTCAATGAAACGAAGAAGTTAAACTAATTCTTAACTCTCGGATGGCGGGCCATGGAGAAAGCCCCAATGCTGTTCAAGGAATAATAGAACAATTAATTCATTCGTTTATTTAATAGTTAAAGAACTTTACCAAGTCTAATGACAAACAATTGATGTAACTTTAACAAATTTAAAATAAATTCTTCATTTCACTCTTGGGTAATAATTATCAGACTAATGATCTTTTTACACATTCCACTTCTATTATATAAATGCAATGAACAAAAGAAATATTTCAAAATTGAATTTACACACAGATCCATCAAGACACCTAACACAACTCTCGCAATCATCCAGAAAGCCATAAGTAAAAGGAATCACAAAAGTTCAAAGAGGAACAATTAAGAACACTATTTTAATTAAGAATGCCTACATCAAACTCGTACTATGAACATGATTCGAACGTTTCTGCGAACACAATCGGTTTTTACCATCGATAGTCCATGCTGCTTCTGCAACTCGCCACGGTGGCTAGTTAGAGAATCGCTTCCCGGCGGCCACAACCTATATCCAGCCTACCTCCACGTAGGCGTACGCGTATTTAGCGCGTAATTTATATAAGAAGAGAGGCACGCTTGGTTCCACCCCAAAGCACTTCGATACACTGGCGCCAGCACTAACAGAAAGTCAGCAACAATCCTCCATAAAAAACTTCACCACCTCCCGACAATCAAACAGACAAAACAAGAAATAAAATCATGAAAAAATAAAGTGCCAAAAAATTTCATAGAAAACCCTCTGTCAGACCTATGGTCATAACTGCCTAATTAATTGGTGGTTTAATTAAAAAAAAGGTGTACGCCACTGCGAGCAGACAGCAATTGTTGCGGAGAAGAGGCGTATAACTTCCAGTGTTGCATCGAACATCCTTGCGTCCGGATCGTGAAACCATATTCCTCTTCGTTCCACATTTTTTTCACCCATTAACCCTACCCAAATCGTGTGCCCATCCCTGAGGAGTCATCCATCAAGGTGTCCTTCAAGAAATTTCCATTTGACCCGGTTTTTTTCTCGAGGAAGTAGCACGGATCGTGGAAATCCGAGTTCGAAAGGAGGATTTTGAAGTTGGAAATATGGTTCTTCTTTTTTTTCTTCTTCATGGTGTTCGTCATTGGACAAGGCTTGGGAACGTGTTTGTGCGTGAAACTAGCTTGTGAAACGAGTTGAAGGACGTGTGGGATTGTGAGAAAGAGAAAGATAGGACAGGTTGCATTCACGGATAGAAAATTCCAAAGATTTATTAATAGACATTGAATTTAGAATTTCGGTATGCGCGCAGTGGAAGTTGGTTGAAAAAGTATGTCGAGCGGAATTCGATTAGAACGGTGGATTTAATTGAAGATTTCATTTACCAGGTATCTCGGGTGAACGGATATTTAAATCCAGAGTGTACGGAAGATTTTCTATGAACGTGTCAGCAGGTGAAACGCGTAAACGTATTCCCGAAACGTCGCATCGGATGACCGTTAACGCATTCTACGGGGAGCACCGATTTTTCGAGACTGCTGACCCAATGTTCCCGATAGTAATCGCCTTGGTGGCCTCCTAACTCCCTTAAAGCGAATTTAAAATTCACGACAGTATTGTGCCCGAGGATTGGTTCAGATCTCTGTCCGGACGTGTTCAGAGTTTTCAATTGATTTTACTCTTTGTTCAATAATTACCTGTACGAAGATTTAAATCCTTGGATCATTAATCACTTTCTAAAAAAGAGAAGAAAAAAAATTAGGAAGTCTTTGAGACGTTCTAAAGATAAACGGGATAATCCGAAGACGCGTTTGTTTCAAAAGGACATAAAACAGCGATGATCTCATAGGATGAAAGCAGGATCACTGACACTCTTTGCTGGCGATTTTACGAGCTGGGTCATGTTTGCACGAACTTTCTATAAATAGAAAGAACAGCGATGACCAATGACGCCTGGGGCATTCGTTAACCTTGAACCCTGAACCACTTAGGAGGACTATGAATCAGGGTGACGTTAGTGAACTTAGGTGTCGGTTAGAAAATTCTAGATGAAAACTGCTGTTAGTAATCTGGTTAGGCAAGAAAGTAATAGCCGGTAGAACTCGGTACGATCGGGAGTGATAAGAAGGTCAAGTGTTAACCGGTGTTAAACTGGTGCAGGCTGAAAACGGCCGGCGAGTTTGCTAAATTACACGCTTCGTGGTCTGTTTGTGATATAATTGACGTTACCGTTACCGTAGTCCTTAAAAATGTCATACACACTCGTAAACGAATATTTCTTCTCTAATATCAAAGTTACGATAAATCATTGTTACGCTTGTCGAACGAAACGAGTTCCCACGTAACACACGGTACTTCTTTCTTTCACCGAACGATAAGAATCATCGAAGTGGCGAATTGAAAGTACGGAACGCGTTCGCGGTCTCTCTTGCCGAGCGAGGATCGAAGAAAGTCGATATAATGTCGATTAAAATCGAACGTTGACCGAAGGTACGCAACATGGAGCCGACGCTTGCGCGGAACAAGAAAGCCGAGCGCGGGTCTACGCGATCGTCGACCTCGAGGAATCGGTTTTCCTCGCGAAACACGCGCTCGGAAGCTTTCTACGCTGCCGCGGAACCGTTATCCGTTCGACGCGCGTTGCATAATTCCGCTGGCCCAGACCCAGATACGAATTCCGCTCCGAATTCCAGCGGATCGACGGAACGCGTTAGGAGGTACCACTCTTCCGCTCGCCCGAGGTACCTGGACCCGGAGTATCACCCGTTGAACTACAAACACCCTGTTCAGGAGAGCTTCCATACGGTTCCGAGGGACGTAGCAGTGTCCCGGAAAGAAATCCTGAAGAGATACAACAGAGACAGGGAGGAGAAAGAGAATCCATCAGGGAGAAGAAGAAGATCCATAGATGTGGACAGGGATCAGCTGGAAAGACCAAAGACTCTACCCTCCATAGGTAGGAGGGCTCATAAGGACTCAATCCGGGTGGCGCAATCTCATCAAGGTGTCAGAAAAGTGTCCAGGCAGGATATTATCCAGAAACGTGCCAGCGTAGACGTTCCAATCGCCGCCTCGCGTGGCAGGCATCACGGAGAGGAGAAGCTAGAAAGTTCAGAGGCGAAAGGTGGCACCTCCACCAGTTTCTCGAAGAACGCGCCGCGGAACACCGGGTGGGGCAGAGAAGATGAGAGAGAGTCCAGGTCGGCCTGTGATTTCCTGGCAGTCACCAACAAGCTGCAGGACATTAACCGCGGCCTTGTGCCGAGACCGTCGACCTTGCCCAAGATTGTTCACGCATCGAGGACGTCCAGGTTAACGGAGGATTGGGCCAGCCCTAGGCTGGCCAAGGAGGTAGCGAGGAAGGAACCACCGGTCTACGGGAGGATTCGAAGAAGAAAGACGTCACTGCCGACCAGCACCGGCACCGTCAGAGGTTCCTTGGTGTCTCTGAACGGTTCGAACAGATACCCCAGACCTGGACACTCGCAGGTCAGAGAAAGAGCCGTGGATGTGGAGTTCAAAACAACCACCAGACACCTTCGCGATCCTGTACAGGATACACCCTACTACCCAGCGACCTTGCCTTTGGTGGACATGCGAACTAACCCTCATAGAAATGCGCTTTACGCCAAAGTGTCTCGAAAGACGTCGAAGAATGCTCAGGGTTGTGATAACAAGACTGATTCGAAAGATGGTATTGACGGTAGGGTCGATGTAGAAACTGGACAACGGACCATTTCCAGGAAGAGGATCATAGAGAACATGAAGGACACTTCGGTGGATAGGAAGAACGCGAAGTCGGTTGAAGACTCTGTGGAAATTCAGTCCGAATTTCCGTCAGAAAGTCAGTCGTACCGGAGCAAGGAGTCTGATGTCCAAGAGAAGAAGGATTTGTCTAAATGTGAAACTGATGCCAGAGATTCACGGTTGGATAGGGATAGAACGAAATGTAAAGAGTTAGCGAAGCGTAGATCGAAGTCTCAGAGCAGGTTGATGGAAAACTTTCGCTCGGCCCATCGAGAGACCGGCGCGGTCACCAGACTCGCGACCACTCTTCCCAGTTATGTGAAAAGTTCGAGAAAGTGTTCGACAGAGAGCCCACCAGGGATCGAGTGTCATGGAAAATTGAGTAAAGAGACTGCGATCTCGACGAAGCAGAGTAAAGAAAGGTCGAATTATGTGAAAAAGTCTAATAGTCATGTTAGAGCTTTCAGCGATGCTAATAGTGGACGTTCTAGTTCACCAGTTACAACCTCCTCGATTTTCGGATTTTGTACTGGAAAAAGGAAAGTTCAGTCTTCTTCTAATGGTGCAGCAAAAATTGAAACTGTGTCGTGTCCAACATGGAACGTGAAAACGGTTAGCATCTGTGGTTTTGATAATACAGTAGACTATCGTTATATTGAAGAAAGCTGTAGGGGTGGAAAATTTATCAAGCTTCCAAATTTTTAGGTGGAAGGGAAAGGGGGAATAAAAGTGTATCACTTTGGTAGGCTTTGATAGTAGAGAGTGGCACTATAACGAAAGTCTGCTGTAGTCTGTGATGCAAAATTCTTGGAATTCTGAATGATTTTATTAAATTTTAGAAAGTTTGTCTGACACGGAGAGCTAAATATCAAGGAAATAATTCATAGCACTTGAAGTGATAAGAAGCCTGTGTCCTCTACAGACATCTAATTAATTTTACTAATTACATTTTTAACTATTCTAAGTGCAATTCTTATGTTTCTACTGATAAAGAATAATTTTTATATTATTTATCAGAAGACCTAGGAGGGAGAGGGTTAAATAGGTCAATTTATCCCCCCTTGAAAAATTAAAAACTCTTCCCACAAGTAAACCTTCTCAATAATAAATTTTGTCGAGAATAATCAAAAATGAAAAAAATTAAACATAATATTTTCACTATATGTAACAATTTTTTTAACCCCCTTATGTGGCAATTATGACGGATCTACTTATCTCTGACGAAATGATTAATAATATCCAATTTTTCAGCCATCACTTACAATATAATTTTTTATTTTCCAGGGTGAATTGGTGTGGTTCGACCCAGGTGTCGGCCACGTGTTACCAGGAGAAGTGTTGGAGTACCACAGAGCTGCGAATGTTCTGTCAGTGCAAGCAGTGATTGCTGGCAAGGTATGAAATTAATTTTCTATTCCCACAAAAAAAGTCGATGAATCTATCATACTGACGAGTGTGTAAATAGGACAAGTCTAAGAGTAAATTATTATCGATTCAAACGATCGACCGGATAAGTTATGCAAGATCTGTGACACAACCTCGATTATGATGCATGAGAAGTATTAATGAATTCTTCACCGCGACGTTCAGCGATGTTTTCTTATTTTTTTGTTCCCTTTTTTATCGTCATCAAATGGGTCAATTGTTCAAAAATGAAACTACGTTGTGCGTTGTTATTTCGAAGGGATAGAGAAACAAGATGGAAGTGTGTTAGGGTACGTGCTAGTCAACAATACGACTCTGCTTCGAGGCCAAGAAACAACCGGTTATTCTGCATTTCCTTAAAGCGACGTTCGCTTCGACCAGTTGGTCGACGTTCTTTACTATGTTCCATTGACTTTTTACTATGGCTATTTGGCGCAATAACAATGGCAGAGAGAATAGAATTCGCGAGAAGACTGCTGGTTGTTGGAAATGTTTATTCAATTTAGTTGGTCTTGTTTGTTTCTGGGAAGATGATCCGATATCCTCGTTATTCAATTTCAAGTTTATCAATATTTGTATGCATGGAATTCTTTGCAATTGCTACAGGCATGGTTGATTAAATATTTAAAATTAAATTTCTTCATATATTGTAAATTACAGAATTTTTGTTGCTAATGTGACATATTTATTTTTATGACATGAAAGTAACACAAAGTGGCAGTTATGGTATATTAATTTAAAGCTTACACCTTGATAAAAATTAATATATAAAAGATTCATTAGTACTTTTTATATAAAGCTGATTCTTCATTGAAGAAAACAGTGAATTAATCAATTTACAGTTTGCTTCAATTAAGAGTCAGTCATTTTGTGTCAAGAATATTGATTAAATGCTTGTGTAGTAATTTTTATTAAACTTTAAGCCTTAAATTAATGTGCTACAAGTACTATTTTGTGACACTTTTATGTCATGAAATCCTATTCATATCTTACAATCCTCTGAACTGTCAGATGGCGGACCATGGAGAGAGTCCCAATTTTAATTTAATTTTATATTTCATATGAAACTCTCTTGTTTAAAAATTATACATTTAACTTTGAGTTAATATCCTTGGAGTCTCAATTGTTCCAGACTTCACTCAAAGGTTAAAAACACCCACGGACCATATATAGAATCGTGCAAACAAAAAAAATCTGTCTCATAAATTCCAATTACGGTAACGAACGCTTCCCGAGATCATTGTAAAAGTGTCGCAGGAAGAGGAACGAAAAGTATTCGGTAGAGAAACAAGATTTCCTCGGTGGCCATTTAACTGGCTAGTCAAATGCGTCGGAAGTAGAAAGTCGAATACGATCGTCGAATGCCGCGCATTCTTTGCGAAATACAATACTTCCGCGAAAGTGGCCTGTTCGGTATCTTGGAAAATTACGTCCACACCGGCTCTGATAAAACGACGCGAATCGATTGTAGCGTGAAAGTGTATATCGAAAAGGGGCATGCTGATCGCCTGCTTGCAACACCTTCGTTATATGCACTTTCAAGCTCCAAGGACAACGTATCCGCAAGAATCTTGTCTGCAAAGTATTTTCGCGTTCCTGTCTTTCACTTTCGTGTCTCTTCTTTACGTTAGGGGAATGATTCGTCGATTTTCAGAAGAATATGTCGGACTGAAGACTGAATTCTCGAGCTTCAGATTTATTTTTGCTTCGAAAGATAGAAAAATAAAAAATTATTTAGTTGAAGGGTGGTTAGAAAAAGAATTGTTATTTGTGGAATTTTAATGCTTTGAATACTGAATACTTGAAAACCAGAATATTAGAAATTTTCAGAAATGTCCAAAAGATAAATATTTCACGATATATTTTAATTTTTTTGTAACTAACCAGTCATGATGTAAAATTTGTTTGAAATGGAAATTTTTCTGAAAATATCTTACACTTTCCTTGCACAAGAGGAAATCCTGTATCGACTACCTGTTGCATCACATTACAGTTTATTATGCGTTCAAAGTTCCAATGTATTTTTAAAATGAAGCATAACATAATGCAATTCCAGTTGACGGGCCTGCAATATAATTCAGTTCATTTTGTTTCGCGTGACGAACGCGAACAGCTCGACTTATCAGTGATTATTTTCTTCAGTGATTGTGTCTCATATTCGATTTCTCAAAGCATTGTCGTGGATTAGTCGCAGTCTTTAGTTCAATTGACGATGCACATAGGTGTAGAAATTATATACATGCAGTTGCATTGCATTGCATTTAAAGCGTCAGTGCTCTAGTATATCAGTGACTCATTGTCAGTAGCACAATTGGGAGGAGAAGGAGGAGGTCAGAAGGGGCAATTAAGCCCCCTATTAAGATATTAGAAATTTTGAAACTTTGTAAAATTTAAAAAATAAAAATATAAAATACAAATTGGAGCTTAAGTACTAAAATTTGAGCTTTCTCCATGGTCCGCCATCCGAGGGTTATAAATACCATAATATTGTGGCTGTACCATTGCAGTAACTGTAATTCTTGCGCCAATTAATTCATATTAATTAAGTTAAAAACGATCTAATATGATAAATGAAAATAGAAATAAAATAAACTTATAATTACTATGTCAGTAGGAGAAAGATTTCAGTATATATTCATATTTAGACTGTGCAAGGCTCGTTAAAAGCCGGTAACGGGATCGGTTTCCGTTTGCCGCGATAAACGAACATGTCAGTTAAACGTTTCTCTAAGCAGATTACGTTTCCCGCGGCTGAAAAGCAGGCGACGCCAATGGAATTGCAACTGCAAACTCAGCCAGCTCGGTATCCGGTTAAGTCTCACGTGAGTGGCTTTCGCGTCTTATGTGAATTCGCGCGAATCTTCCTTTTTTATCGTGCATTCTCCCGGAGATCAGGTCGCATTTGTCGAGAAAATCCGGCAAAAAACAGGAGAGTTCTGGTACGACACACCGTTCAAAAGTGCCTGCTTTGGAAGACTTTCCTTTCGAATCTTGATAAATGGAGGGAAAAAAAAAGAACACGTCGAAGAAGAAGAAAACCAAGCCTGGATATGCCTTTAAATGATAGTTTACTTTTAAAGCTGGTTATCGTGGGGAAAAAAAAAAAATGTAAAAGATAAGAAAATTATTTCTATAGATGTTTATTAAATGAAGCTTTCATTTTCAATATTAACCCTTTGGATCATCGAGCGTACCACGAATCGTATAGATAAGTTCAGAAGGGAGATTTGAGTCGCAGAAATCCGCGTTGGAACCAAGAAACGATGCTCAAAAGTCAAGGTTACGCTTGAAGGAAAGTGTCTTCAACTGCAAGGACGAGGAAGAGGTATACTCGTGTGCGCGACGTCGACACTTCGCAAAGTGGCATTACAAAACGAGCAAATCGGTGCTGAAGAATTTAATGTCGGCCTTCAACGACTCGAACTTAGAGAATTTTCTTGGAGAATCTTCGAATAGTTCGATTGATTGAATTATCGATCACTTATTGCGAATTTTTTTAATTTTACTCCTGAGGGGATGACAATAGTAATTGTTCGAAATAGACGATTTAAAAATATAGAATTCTAACATGGTTTAATTACTTAAAAGCAGCATAAAATTAAAGCTTGAAGTTTGACGAAAATAACTGCATAAGGAATTGTACTTAATGGTATGTTTTACATTTCAGCCACAGATATTCACCCTAACTAATTTAAGCGGAGTGAAACCGAGACAAGATCTTGGCCAAAATGGAGTTGAGGATATGATTCAGTTAAGGTAAGTTTCATTTAATAATTACTGAATTTAATAAAAGCTACGTTGAAACACTATTGAAATTACAGCGACCTGAACGAAGCCTCATTATTATGGAACCTGAAGATTCGGTACGACAAGGAATTAATATACGTATGTCCTCTGCTAATTAAATCTTCCATCAATATCATCAAACAAAATTTAGTATAATTCAATAAAATATTTTTCATTAACAGACGTACACGGGGAGTATCCTAGTAGCGGTGAATCCCTATAAAATGTTTGATATTTATGGCTTGGACCAGGTGAAACTCTATGAAGGACGAATACTTGGAACCTTGCCACCGTGAGTTGCATATTTCAATTTTTATATTAAATTAAATTTTAGACAATTTCTATTATTTTTCTAATACGAGACTTTTGAAATTATTGAATTAAAAACAAAAACGATTAGTTAAATAGATAAAAATAAATTAAAATGTAGTTGTATAAAGTATTTTGTTAAAAACTTTCTGTCAGCAAATATTCTAATAAAAAAGAAATATAGTTACAAAACACAATTAAAATTATGAAAAAGCTTGTTGGCTAACGGAATTTCGTGGTGTATTTGCAGTCATCTGTTTGCTGTCGGTTCGTCCGCGTACAGTCAAGTAACTGCAGCAAATAATGCCAGCGCGAATCAAGTGGTAGTTATTTCCGGTGAATCCGGTTCGGGAAAAACGGAATCCACGAAACTTGTAATGCAGTACCTAGCTGCTGTTAATCGAGCACCAAACAATCTGGTCACGGAACAAATTCTCGAGGCAACGCCCTTATTAGAGAGCTTTGGAAATGCTAAAACACCGAGGAATGACAACAGTAGCAGATTTGGAAAATATTTAGAAGTTTATTTTAGAGAGTGAGTATCCATCTACTAAAGGAAAACAAAAATTATTATTGTATCATATACACCTATCCCTAAAGTAGTCTTCTGAATTTTAATTGTAATTCATTTCAAACACTAAATTTTAAATTTTCTCAGCTTGATATGCTAAAAAATACTCAATTCCTTATTTCATAGAATGAGTAACTACAGATTTGAAAAATTATTATAGCAGTATGTGCCATTATCTTTAACCCTCGAACGACGGACCATGGAGAGAGCCCCGCTTTATAAGAATAAAGAATTTCCTGATAATCAGTGAAACACTTCCTCAATTAATTCAATGCGATTCAATTCATTTCCAGTGGAGTGATCGTAGGTGGAAGAATAACTCAGTATCTGTTAGAAAAAAGCAGAATAGTCACCCAAGCGTCAGAAGAAAGAAATTACCACGTGTTTTACGAGCTTCTAGCCGGTCTTGATCAGCAGCTCAGGGACAAGTACGGATTGCTGACGCCGGATAAATACTTTTACTTAAACCAGGTTATTTGAAGCATCCAATATACGCTCAACGCTAATCAGAATCTAAGAATCAAGTGCATAATTTCAATTTATCAGGGTGGAAACTGTGAAATTGATGGGAAGAGTGACGTCCAGGACTTCAAGGCACTTTTGTCAGCAATGCAAGTTCTGGGTTTCACGTCAGAAGAACAGGATACAATTTTCAAGATTCTAGCTAGTGTTTTACACCTTGGCAATGTTTATTTTCACCGGAAGCAGATGAGGCATGGTCAGGAAGGGGTTGAGGTTGGTTCGGATGCGGAGATACGTTGGGCTGCCCATCTTCTTCAAGTGAATTCTGATGGGATTATTAGAGCACTTACCACAAAAACGACGGTAAGTAATTAATGATGGGTTATAAGATGCTGTTAATTACTTGGAATATGAACATATGCAAAATATCACTATTCATATCTTCGTTTAATAAATTATTTATTAATATTTTGCATTCTTTGTTTGAATATTTTCCTAATCGAAACGTGTTTAATTCTGTCGACAGGAAGCAAGAAATGAAAGGGTATTCACGGCACTAAACATTGATCAAGCTTTGGATGCCAGGGATGCATTCGCCAAGGCTTTGTACAATTCCCTGTTCTCATGGCTAGTAGCTCGTGTGAATCATATAGTTTATAAAGGAACCAAACAAACTGCTGCCATTTCGATACTCGATATTTTTGGATTTGAAAATTTCACGGAAAACAGCCTGGAACAACTCTGTATCAATTATGCAAATGAGAATCTTCAATTTTATTTTAATAAGCATATATTCAAGTTGGAGCAGCAAGAGTATGCGAAAGAGAAAATTGATTGGACTACTATTAATTACACAGTAAGTGAATTAATTTAAATATTCGAAAACAAAAGAAATTCATTAGATCCTATTAATTAATATTAATAAATTTCATGACTTTGATATTTAACTTTTTATTCCATTATTTTATATTTTAATAGATCCAATTAAATGAACAAAAATATTTATTCTATTTAAAAAATAAAATTCCTCTAACATAAAACTAAGAAATTTTGTATTTGATATGCACAGGATAACTTGCCAGTGATTCACCTAATCGCGAAGAAACCTGTTGGTATTCTTCATCTCCTGGACGATGAAAGCAATTTCCCTAAAGCTACAGATCTTTCGTTCCTGGAAAAGTGTCATTACAATCACGCACTAAGCGAATTGTACTCAAGACCAAGAATGAATTCTGCTGAATTCGCGATTAAACACTATGCTGGCCAAGTTTGGTACAACGTTGAAGGTTTCTTGGATAAGAACAGGGACACCCTGAGACCAGATGTCGTGGAGTTATTAATAAGCAGTAAAATATCTGTGAGTTTAAAGCTAAAAACTATCAACTAACAATTTTCTGCCAAATTATTTGTAATTTCCTAAGTAAATTTTTATAAGCCCTTATAAAAATTCATACATCATTCATGTATGAGTGATATGGTATTTGAAATATTAAGAATCTCTTAAAATTTTATATTTTTTTTCCAGATGGTCAGCAAAATGTTCCAGCACGTAAGGACAACCCATGAAGCGAATAAAACCATGAATAAACCAAATGGTAGATTCGTCACCATGAAACCTAGAACACCAACGGTATCTGCTCGGTTTCACGACAGTTTACAGCAGCTTCTGGATTCCATGTCTCAGTAAGAGTATTTTCAACCCTTATCATTTTAGAAATTTAAATAATTTTAGTATCTATAAAATGCTACATATCTTGAAAATATAAAAATCGAACGTTTCAATTAATTTTTGCAGATGTAACCCATGGTTCGTTCGGTGCATAAAACCAAACACAGAAAAAGCCCCCATGAAATTCGACATGCCCTGTGTACTGGAACAATTACGATACACTGGAATGCTAGAAACGATTCGAATTCGAAAAACCGGTTACCCGGTTCGACTTCTTTTCGGACATTTCGTGGATCGGTACAGATATCTGGTTTCCACCCATCTGCCCAGAGGAGCACCCAACAAGGAGCTTTGTCGAATTATTTTGGACAAAGCTGCGCCCAAGGAAGCTCAATCCCAGTATCAATTAGGATTAACAAGGGTGTTTTTAAGAGAATCTTTGGAAAGAACTTTGGAATACAATAGGGCATTGATTTTGGAAAGGGCTGCCATAACTGTCCAAAGGTAACTAATTGCAATGGAATATGTTTTCAACAGAAAAATTGGAAAATCATTGTTAAGCTTATAATTAATATGAAATTTCATAATTATGAAGGTATACTAGAGGATTCCTTGCGAGAAGAAGATTCTTAAACATCTCACGTAGCACAGTGCTAATTCAAGCGGTTTATCGCGGTTATCGCGAAAGGAAGAAGTACAAAGCGTTGAAAAAAGCGGCGCTAATGGCACAGAAGATATACAGAGGCAAAAAGCAACGTGAAAAGTTTAAGGTATTGAAGGAGGAAATGGCGAAGAGGGCGGAAATTGAAAGAGCTAGCAAAGAACGCGCCAAAGCAAAACAACAGAGGGAGGAGCAAGAAAGAACCTCCAGAGCAGTGGCTGGTGTGAATCATTTAGAAATTCCTGCTGAACTTGCATTCATCTACAGTAAACTTGATGGTAATTTATTCAAAACGTTCTTAATTAATTCTTTTTCATAAGAATACTTTACTAATGAAACAGGGAGTATGTAAATTTTTGTTAATTACAATTCCATTATTACACTCTAATGAAGACTAACATTATTAATGGCATTTTATTATAATTTTTTATGGTTAAAATTCCTCTTGCTTAATTTAAATCTATTTAAAATCAAATTAAAAATTTAAATAAAAATATAATAATAATTCTTATAAAAAATATGAAAGTAAGCTAGCTATGTACAATATAGTATTATAATATCTCTTTGTATTATAATATTAAATAATTTTATGGTACCACTTTGTAATAAAAATTTATAATAAAAGATAATATTTACTTTTACAGATTGGCAACCTACTCATACAGAAAGAAATCTGTTAAAAGTGGTGGGTCAAGTGATACCCATGCATCTCAATTACAGTTTACCAAACGACATCGATCAGCACCAATTCTCAAAATTCACTAATATCTACTTTAAGAGTCACATCTTCGGCATGAAACGAGAGCCAATAAAGACCCCATTCCTAGCCAAAGCCAGAGATCAAGATTACACTGATTCATTGATGATCTTCAAAATGATCCTTCGTTTCATGAATGAAAACAATTTAAGTGGCAAAAGGGAGCAAGCATTAGGAGATTATATTGTGAACAAAGGAATCGTGAATGAAAAATTGAGAGATGAAATTCTGTGCCAATTGGCTAATCAAACATGGAAGAATGAAAATGATGCTAATAAAGAAAGAGGATGGTTGTTGCTATCAAATTGTCTGTCAGCTTTTCAACCATCTTCAACTCTTTTTAAGTATTTCTTGAAATACGTATCTGATCATGCGTATGATGGGTATAAAGCTTACTGTCAAAGGAAACTTTTGCAAGGAGAAAGAACGATATTTAGAATAATGAGCAATAATCAGCAAATTGTTCATCATGTACCTAGAAATTATCCTCCGTGTGTGTTGGAATGGAGAGCGAACAGGAATCGTGTTAATATGGCTCTCAGTGTAGGATTCTATGATGGTAAGTAACCCTGCACCCAAATTAACAAATAGATTTTTGAAAATAAATTTTTATAAATTTTCCAAGTTGAAATTTTTAGATACCTATATTTTAAAATGATAAACAATTCCTCTAAAGCCTAAAAATAATTTATTTTCTGATTCTTTAATTTTGTTACACCAAGTGTAACTTAAAATTAAAAATATGGAAAAATGATGAGGTGAAAATTTTAATAAAACAATTTTCAGGTGAGATAATCACCTGTGCCGTGGATTCATGGACAACATGCGAGGAATTAGCAAACCTTGCTGTCCACAACCACGGCGTGGATAATTCTGGTTGGACCATTACCTTATGGAATCAACTGGACGGTCCGGATGCCATTGTGACAGAAACCAATGGATTCGACTACGTGCTGGATTTAATTTCAGAAATGGAGCTGGCTCCAGCATTCCCAGCTGCCAAGCATATGTTCTTGGAACAACGAAAGAACAGTTACCCACCAATTAAAAAGAGAGAAGTGAGTGGATGTGTATTTATGGTAAATGAATATTATTATTATTATTAATGTGACAATATTTCAGCATGCACAGATTATTCGAGAGTTAGAGCAGGAAATAGAGCCGCCTGTTTTGAAAACCTTTCAACCTTTGGAACGGAAGACGGTGCCTAAGGTTATAGACAAACCGGTAGAAGCGGAAATTCAGTCGCCTAGGAGGCCGGCTGTTCCTCCCCCACAACCGCCTGTAGCTAAGCCATCGGTAAATTAGAAATTAATTATTTAGGATAGGAACAATTAATTTTCAAATTTAAAATTTCAAAATTTTTGTATGCTGCCTTACATAATTAATGTAATGATAGTGCTATTCAAAATAGCATCTTCTTCGAGAAGAAGAGTTTTAATATAATTATTTCACAGGTGAGGAAACAATCACACGAAGGAATCCTAGAAACAACGACAGACACCGGCCTCTCCCGGAAATCTGCTCTAAACGACAGATACTTCGAAAAAGAGAAACAACGTAGCCGTAGTCTGGACAACTTACTCCAACCGGAAGTAGTGGCTCCACCAGTGAAACTAGCGAATCTCGGGCTATCATCGTCGAAATTAAACGAACGTTACCATAGTTTGGAAAGAATTGGTGAAACGTCTGCAGTGAGCAATGTGGAATACATGACGAGGAATGAAATCTCGCAAGAAAGAAAATATAGTAGGATAACTAGGACAACGGAACCGAATATCGAAGAAGAAGATCTGACTATTGATTTTGAGTATCCGGATATTCAATCGGTCAGTCAGACTGGAAGATCCGAGGATGATAAGAGCAGCTATATCAGGTCCCAGACTAGGTTTATCAAATCACAATATCCTGGTAAGTATTAATAAAAAATAAATAAAAATAAAAATGTGATTTACATATCTGGACCTCAGAAAAAAAATGACACCACATGTTATTAAATTTTTCACTCTTCCTGATAATAACAATTATTTTATTCTAAATCATTTAATTTTTAATCTAATACTGTAAAAATAATAGTAAGCCCCTATCTGAAGGACTCTATTAAGAGTCCTAATTTACAAAACATTTCGGAGCAATGATTAAATATAATGATTGTATTTTTAAACATAGGTAAACGAGCATTGCCAGGCAGTCAATCGAGTCGTGCCTACATCGAGAAAAGCGAGTACGGTGTGAAATCTTCAGCCATGTCTGACACAAGCGAAGCTCCTTCCCTGGCATCCCACGTCAGACGTGTCAGGGTACCTAGTCAAGCTTCGGACGTGGATCAGTTCCTGGACGAATTATTCATGCCAGTTCTCGATGGAAATTTAGACGAGCTATCTGATGCCAGAAGTTTGGCAGCCAGTATCAAAGGTACAAAAGAAGATAGATCTCAGAGCGATGCCATAATCCTCGAAGCTCTAGAAGGAGATCACGAAGATATTCCCCAAACAGTGAATGACTTTATTAAAAAAATAATGAATAATAGCAAAAATGAAATGATTACTGCTGAAGAATTATCAAAGAAGATCAAAGGTGGAGGAAACATGGATATACCAAATCAGAACGCGAACTTTAATTTCGGTGCCATTACACCGGGAATGATGTCACCACCTATGATGATGCCAATGTTTAGTTCACCTCAACAAGTCCCCCCTGCACAGAGCACCAGTATGAACATGAATCCCGGATTCATGCCAATTCCAATTTACAGCATGCAGGGACTCAGTCTTCCTCAGTATCCTAATTCACCTCCTAATCCAAACAACGACATGATGGCCTATCAGCAGAACTTGCAGAGAGCCTTTCTGCAGAGTGCCATGGCGCAGAATATACAGATTCAACAGCAATTGTTAGCGCAGAATCAGGCTCTTCAGCAACTGCTCGTGCAGAGCCCTCAGAATTCGTCCCAACAACCGGTGAGAAATTAGTAGTGATAAATAATTAAACGCGAATGTTTATTTTATAGAACATAATGATATCATTTTTCATTATTTTCTGGGTTCAAAGAAATTTTGCTGAAAACTTTTATATTATTATTTATCTAAAATATTTAGTAATTCAACTCTTAATTTACTCATATTTACAATTACTCATTTTTTTCTACCCTTATTTGCATTAACTCTTGAACAGCGGAGCTTGGGTCAAATGTGACCCATTACAAAACATATATCAGAATACAAAGATATATTTATATATTAGAAGAATAATTTCTTCAACATTTTTCAGCTACTCATTTAAAAAATTTTCTCTTAATTTGAAACCCTATTATAATACCCAGAAGATAATTATTAAACAAAATCAAACGCAACACACCACAGAAACAACCATAGACACAAATCGAGCCTCGATGGAAAATTGTTAATTTCCTTCAAACGCAGCATCACCTTGTCGCACAATAATAATACTCACTGTAAGATGTTGTAACACGTGTGTGTAAACGACGAAAATCGCATGTTAAATGTCATCAAAACGAAAGGAATAGCGATCGTTCCACACGCGTCACTTTCACGATCACATAACTGGTAAATACTAACACGATCGTTGTTTCGCAATACACCGCACGTACGGCTTTTAAAGTGATCACGATCCGCCTCGTGATTTGTGTTCCTTTTCCGGATAAACAATCCTGTGGGCTTTTAGAGCCGCAATCGCGGCATGGGTGTGTGTTTCCAGGGCACGGTGTTGTCCGCAGGCCCCTCCAGTATGAATCTTGTTCCCCCAGCCCCCCAAAACGGTGCCCAAATGGGGCCTAATGATTCTATTGGACGCTACTCTAAGGTATCTAATGATTTCATCTAACGAAAAAAAAAAAAGAAAAAAAATGAAACATGTATATTGATAACGTAACAGTTTCAACGATACAGTTGATTATTTTGTTTTTGTTTGCTCAGTTATGTTGTAACATATGTCGATGATATTAACTGGTTATGGGAAATTCAGTTGGAAAGCCGATTTGTACAGTGGTGTGAGCGAATGTAGGTTTGAAATAGTGTTTGCTCTAAACAGTTATTATGTTTAATGATCGTTGGAGTGATTAATGACTTATAGATTATGAGGGGTAGTATGCAATTTTATGTAAAAAGTAGGATATTGGAGGAGGTTTCAGATTTGGATTATTCAGAGATTTTTTTGAACCGGTTTGTAAATTTGTAAATTTTCACATATTTTAAAATTTGTTTAAAATATATTGTACCAATGATCTCTGCAATATTTTCACAGCACTGTACATAGTGGCACGAATAAAATCATTCAAAGCACGTTATTTGTCACGTTGTAAAATATTGTAATTTATAAATCGCACTAAACATCCCTGAAAAATTAATTATCATATTTTGTAATAAAATTCAAAATGATTAGGTGTCGTTCAGAGAACCAGAAGATGGCGAACTTTGGTCGACAGAGAAGCAATCAGCCCCACAGTCATTGGTCAACAATCAACGTCAGGAAGTGACTGTTAAAGCTCAAATTCATCGTTCTCAGAGTCCACCGAGGAAAAATTCCGAAATGGTGCGGAAAACAAGCGTTGAATACGCGGTGAAGAAAGTGATCGTTGAAAGAAAGGCAGGTGACAAAAAGTCATCCAGTCCGATGGAGCCTAAGAGGTCGAATTCGAACAAGAATAATGTACAAAGTAATTTTACAAACGTGTTGAGTGAATTGAAAAATCGTAAAAGCAGTGTGGATAGTAATTTATCGAATTCGAGTAATAATAAGGGTGTGCCACCCCCTCCGCCCATGCCACCCCCTTTAGAATCGCACGATCCTTCGGAATCGAGGCCATTTTTGGATCCTTATGGAAGAGCCAAGACGGTTCGAATTGGCAAATGGAGGTAAGCAATTTTAATCGAGGTTTAAACCCTCTATAAACAAATTTTTTATAATAATTCAGGGTAAATAAATAAAAAATTATATATTCGCCATCAGTATTGAATTGGGAATATTTCCATTGCATAACATTATTTTTTAATAAAGTAATACTTATAATTTTAATTAGAAAGCGTTTAATTATTCCTATTACCATTTTGTGATAATTTATTTTTTTAACCATCGTTTTAGATGGCCACCACCGAGCGATTCAAATGAAAATCAGAGCCAAGATAGTTTCATTGAATTCAAAATGCGCCAACAACATCAGCAACGTAAAATCACTCCTCAATATCAAGAATACAACCAAGGTGATGGAGAACCCAGCACAGAGGGTGCTGTAGAATGGGAAGAATTTGAAATTGAAAATATTGTTGGAATGGAAGAGAAGATAACGAGTCAACCTATTCTCAACAAACATGAGAATGGATATAAAGAAGAAGGGGAGAAGAAGAAGAAGAAATCCAAGTATGATATATTTAGAAGACATTCAAACATATGTACATTTTTCTTAAGAATGTTTATTTTTAATATATTTGTTTACTAGGTCTGGGTTAGAAGTAGGTGCACAGAGGCCATCACCAGGTAGCATAGGAAAATTGAAGCTCAGTTCAGAAATGCGTCAAAGATTGGAGAAGGTGACAGCGAATCATAGTGTTAGATCCACGAAGACGAGTGAGAAACCTGCTCTTCCTCGTGAGGATGGGAAAGTAAAGCGTTTGGAGGATAATAGGAAGCTTCTACTTGAACAGCAATTAGGTAACTTTCTTATACAAACTATGGCATTAGCTACAGATAAAAAAAAATAAAATAAGAAGCTTTGTTAAAAAGAAATTAGATAAATAATCAGTGCTAGTTAGCAAATCTTACTGCATTGAAATTTTATTTATAGTGTCATGTTATAGAAATAATCTACCCAGAAAATAGTATAAATTTTCTATAATTCATCATTCAAGCGTTTAAATAATTGAACCATCAAAATATTATGGCTTTAGTCATGTTGACTCTAAGCTAGGTAGCCATGGATCCACGAATCTCTTAATTCAAAATTAAAGCCTTTTTTTCCACGACACTCTATATGCTAAATACAATTTGTCAATTCTATTTATCAAAGGAGGACGATGGGACGATTATGCTTCCACAGCCGATGACACTCAAAGCGTGACTTCAAAAGGAACAACAGACATGATGACTCAAGCGCAAGTAGTCAGAACTCAAATTGAAAGGATGGAAAGACCTGTGCCACCTCCGCTTCCGATTACACCTCCGCAACCTCCTAGTCCCAGAGGTGGCAGCATGTACAGCAATAGGTATTCTTTCCATTGTAACCCATTATTTGCATTTCGCCCCATAGAATTCAGAATTTACCCAATGCATTAATTACAAATCCATTTAATCCCACAATGCATTAATCAATAATGGTATAATCATTATGCAATATAAAATGTCCATTTCTCTAAATTAGGTCAAATTAATTGTAACCAATATTCCCGTAAAATTTCAGTCAATCTGGAGTAGCACAACCAAGGTCACCACCAGCCCCAGTGGAGCCAAAAGCTCGAGATTCCTTCAGAGCATCCCCGGACTCGGAAGCCTTCGACCATTTTGCGAAAAACCAACGCGACATGTTCAGTCAAAGCCGAGATATATTTGCGTCTCAACAGCATCTGAGAGAGAATCACGAGTACAGGAACGATTTCGAGAAATCTCGCTCGCAGGATCAGAAATCCAAAGACTTTTACGGGAAAGACAGTACCGATTTGGCGAGTTCAGCTCGTGACAGAAGCTCAGATTTCGATTCACGTCGCGACTTGAATTCCGACATCTTCGATCCCAAATACGCGAGGGACATATTCGAGAACTCGAATTCCAAGAGAGACCCATTCGGAATGACCAGAGACGTGTCACCCAAGTCACGTGACAGTTTTGGCATGCCATCGTCGAGAGACTTTGGCGTGATGCCAAATACGAGAGAATCCTTCGTGGCTGCTCGACAAAGTTTCAAAAAGTTGGATCGTGAAGTGGATAGAAGATCCAGCATAGCGTCGACCCATCGTACCGATAAAATGGAGAGGATTGAGATCGAAGAATGGCCAGAGTTTCTGAGACCTGTGATGCCACCGGCTGAGAAGCCGGAGATAGAAAAGGTTCAGGAAGTCGTGAATACTAAATTGTATCCTCAAACATCCACTGCTCATTTCACGTATAACAGAGTTACGTGGACGTTGAGGGTGAAAAAGGAAGTGTTTGCACCGAACGAGACGTTGAACAGTCCTTTGGCACTGCATTTAGTGTTTTGTCAAGTGGCTTATGATGTCCTGGCCACGTCCAGTATTAGGATCACTAAAGAGGATAGGCAGAATATGCTGAAGATGTTGGATAACTATGGGGTGACTTTGGATAATCTACAGAGTACTCAGCATAAGATTACTATTAAGAAGAACGTTGTTGACATGGCGAAACAGTGGCCCTTGTATTTTGCTAGGATATTCCCTGTATCGGTAAGTAAATCGCTAGTTAATAGTTTAGTAAATTTTAGGTATTAGTGTAATTAGGACCTTATTTTGAGATGGATCAAGAACCACAAAATTTTAGAACCTTAGAGTTTTAGTTGCAAAATTAATTTTGAATTTAAATTTAAATTAATATTTGGATAGAATAGATAAAAATTAGAAATACCCAAAATCACACTAATATACTTTCCCATATTAAATATAAGTATTTCTACTATAAATAGTACTGAACCTATTAAATCAAATTAAACATGGTACACGATTTGTTTTGCATTTTTCTTCATAGATTGCAATAACTATAGTGTGTGAATTCATACATGGCTAATCATACATGGAATTCTTGAATAGAAAGTCACGAGTAATAAATGATTAAGAATACAAAAGTTTCATAGCTAGTCTGACTATGAGGTACTAAACACTGTTATCCTCTAGAGCAGTAATAATGCAATTATTATATCACGTGTAATTGTTTTTATCTAATCATTACTATCATCACACTACTGACTGAATATATTTATTAACCTTCGATCTATCAGTTTTATTGTGTTATTAATTTGTTTTTCAATCATTTGTTTTTTCAGATTGGACCTCAACATCCTGAAACTCAACATGTGGCGGTATCTCATCATGGTCTGCGATTGATAAAACGCACTCCAAACGGTGACCTTGTTATCCTGGAGACTCTACCTCTCGAGGACATCGTCTCCGTGAGTTCACCCAGGGCTGGTGTATGTGTCATGCAAATTGCATCTGGTGTCAGGCTACCATTACACACTAATCGGGCGCCTCAGTTAACCGAGATGATCAACACTTACATCAGATTGGTGAGTGATTTATATAATCTAGCAATTTAATTTTTGAAAATTTCTTATAGGGTGAGCACCAATTGCGTTGAAACTTTGCATAATTATAGGAGGGTACAATATTAATTTTGCAAAATTATAGTGACCAAGAGATTTGAATACAAAGTTTCTTTAAATTACTCTACATAGAACTCTTTTATTTAGAAAGTTTAGTATAGAATTCTTAGGAGAACGCGGGTACCCGGAATTACGGGTACCCTAGAAATCAGGTCGGATCGGAAACATTCGGGTAGGCTCGAATGGATTCGGGTCTGTCTGAACTTTCCCGAGCCCGAATTTTTCCGAACCTTCCCGAGGCCACCCGAATTTTTTCGAACCCGTCCGAATCCATCCGAATTTTTCCGAGCCTACCCTAGCCCACCCGAGCTAGTAATTTCGAATACCCGCATACCCTTACTAATTTTAAAACATTTTTAACATTTACAACGATATCATAACAATTTCATTGATTTCCGGAATATATGCAACGTTTGCTCTCATTAACGTTCACTCGCATTCTTCGCGAAGAGAACAGGATACGGGTTGCACAAAATATACGTAAAAAGAATCGAAGATGCCTGAAATTTCTGCGGTAAGACGTGATTGACCGACTTTTCTGTGTCGTTTTCTTCGATAATCTCCCGGCGTAACCGTTAGCTGTGTCGATTCGCGTTTCCGAACAACGTGAAACGTGGTTACACGCATGCTTGTAAATAATTTCGCGCTAGAAAACATAATTACGGTTTACTTGATCCTGTTAAAAATTTTACAGCACACTCGGCAGATATTAATACACGGAACGCCATTCTTTTTTCATCGTTTTTTCTTTGCAACATTCCGACGAGTCTGTGGATGTTCCAACATCCGTTTCCACGATCGTTGATTTCTCTATAAAGAACCGCTGACTGATTAGCTCGTGAATCTTTTATAATTAACCAAACGCGCGTTTTAACTTTCCTAGTTCTTCCTCGCATTAGTAACGTTTATAATTTTATGTCCGGTTAAAAATCACAAAAGCGCTTTCAAAGTTGGAGAACAATTAAACAATTAGTAATTTTATACCACGCATTGATAGAACCTCTTAAATATAAAAAAGACATAAAATTATAAAGGTTGTAAATATTATCAAGTCAAGATTTTTATTTTCGAAAATTATTCTAAGCTTCCCTCTGTTTACAGTGATTGCACCCCATGCATTTTCAGTGTAAAATCTACAGAAAAAACTTTTGTTGTCCAAGTATTTTTGAAATTTTATAAATTTTAAAAAAAGTAAGGATGTATTTGCACTCTATATTGAGAGAAGATTAAATATACCAAAAAAATTTCTAATTATTATTTTAAATTTGAACATTTCCCCACTTCTATTATGTTACCAATTAATGGCGCAAGAATACCAGTGATAATAAAATAATTTTACCATAAATTTGCAAAAATAAATATTCAATCGAAAAGGAATATGTTAGAGAATGATAGAAAAATTTTCGCAACGACCTAATTAGCCGTTTCATTCATAAACAATTTCCACGATTTCTCCAGCATCGATAGATTCCTCTTTTTCCATTTCTCTGAGAGATCGAATCTCTCTAATCCCCGCAAGAACGCTGTGGAATCAGCAGGATCCACGAAGGTCGGCAACTACTTTTTTGCGCAATTAATCGCGTACACATAGCCGCGATGAAGTAACGCGATCGCACGTGTGGAAATCGGTACGCGGCTGTAATAAGCGCAACCGAAGAGAAATAAAATGACGAGGAAAGGCAAAGCCCGGGGCGAGTGCGTAGAACCAGCAACGACAGAACGTCGCATTCCAGCACGATAATGCGTGGGTAGCGGAAAGCGAACCTACGATTTCCTCGAGGAACGATGATCCCGGGTAACGATGTCCCGAGGGAATCGTCCACGCGTGTCGTACGAACGTTAAAAAAGATAATCTGCTTGATAGCTCCGTTAGGATGAGTTTCGTTCGGTTCGGTATTCAGTGAAATGTTGCACTGCCTCGATTAATTTGTTTCTCAATGAAACAGAAAGGTCTTCCATCATTTCCTTATTTCCTTGTCGTGGATCATTTGCATTCCTTGGTACTTGTTCTTCATCTACGTCTAGTTATCGCTGCTTCATTGAGATTTCTTTTTCTTTCCATTGAAATGATTTAATGTAACAAGTACATGTAGATGATTAATGGGATGAAATTAAATTCTTTTCATAGAATATTGAATGGATATTCTTGGTGTTAAATTAAAGTAGTATTTTGCGATACTTTTCTGTCATGAAATCTTGATAACATGGTCTAGATCTGCCCAGTCATTGTTTGCTATCACTGATAACCAGTGCTTTTGTTATAAAATAATTAGAGAAATGTCGGGCTTCTGCACTTATGAATAATTCAAATGTAACAGGATTCTAATGACTGAAAGGCCCAACGATGTGAAACGATGAGAGTAAATTGAGCAATCATGATTCTATATTCAATTCTACCAAATCAAGTGTGTTAAAAGTCAACGACCAAAGGAGATACAGGTGAAAAAGTATCACACACAGAGGGTCAATGAGATTCGTATGGATCTTAAAAGGTTTTTAACACTCGTACCATTTGGTATTTAAATTTAGAACGAGTCATTTATGCTATCTCTTATCGGTATTATTTGAAACACCACTTTCTAAGCTGTCTCTTATTCATCCCCGACAGTGTAAACTGGTTTTCGAAGCTGGATCATCAATTTATTTTAACATACAAATTACATACATATTGGAAAATGATCAGAGGAAATGGAAAATGTGGATGAAAATATTAGGTTGGCCATTTCTATTGGATCATTTATTGCAACTTAATTTTATCTTATTCCTTGAAATTTTTTATTCTTTATGCAATGGAAATTAAGTAATTTTCTTGCAGAAAATTAATTTAATTTGAAACCTTCATTCCAATAGTTTTTTAATTTTAACAAACTCGTTCGATCACATCGAACAAACAGCATTTTTCTCTCCTTTATTAATTCAAGATCAATCATTTTCTATTACGAAATGCTTGGCACCATTCATAAAACAAAAGTTATCATCGTCATAAAAGAACAATCCGCGATAAGAAGACTGGCAATCGCGGAACAAGAATATACGCAACAATAGCATGTAATCTTGTCAGGTGGCATGAATGGAATCCCGATTAATTATCATAAAAGATTCGAACGTTCGTCGTTCAATGTACAAACAGCCGTATTTTGACGCTTCGTTTCACCGTTATTTCGAAATCCCCTTCGACCCCGATCCATTCTTCATTCAGTGCCATTATCTCGACAAGAAACGGTCCTACTGTTTCAAATCACCCTTCAATTTCTCTATGAAAACCAATTAGACAATAGATAGAAGTCAACATGACGGCAATTATTTCTAGAATTAAAACTGATATTTTTTATCTATTCTCACCGAATATTTAAAAAAATATTTTTTAAAAATCAACCGAAAAGTATGTTTAATTCTTGATAAATTAATCGATGCGAAAACGAAACATATATGTATCCTTTTTCATCCTTGAGAAAAATGGTCTGCCATTGAACGTTAACACCAGTGGCACGATATTCGTGCGACACTTGAACCTCTGCATTGAATTCGATTGCGAACGTGGGATCGATCGATCGATCAACGATATCGTTTTACATTGAACGATCAGTGGCGTAGCAAGCCACAAGATTTCTCTGAAATAAACCACATCCACACGTACACATAGCACCATGTTGATTTCTCCTTTTTCGAATTTGTACTTTCCATTTTTACGTGATTCGAATCACTTTCATTTTCATAAGAGAGTTGCTCGTATTTAAAGGAGGATCAAACGAGGAATGCGAAGATTTATGCTAACAGAGATTACATTCTTCCTCGAAACTCTATATTTAGAGAACAAAGATCGTTATCGATTGGCTGTTTATCAGGACCGATCGAAAATCTTGTTGGACGCTGATGATAGAGACGGTCGATACACGTTCTCAAGAGAAAGAACAGGAGGCATTGGCCAGCATATATGACCACTCAGTGGAAACGCAATTTACACTAGGCGTTGCCCGACGTTTGCCTCGTTACATTATAGTATCGTGATCGTTAGAATTTTCAAGCTCATTATTGTTAACGCGTTGAAAATAAATAAATTACTGAAATTTTAATTATTAACAGTTTAATGGCTGTTAATATATATCGCTATTTTTCTACTCTACGAGGTGCAAATTGCAATTTGAAAAATGGTAATTTTGCAGTGTACCCTCAGGCTGTGAAAATTTGCCAAGCGAACGAAATAAATAAAAATGATATTAACGATCCAAAATTCAAATCTAAATTCAAACGCCGTTCCAGGTCTGCTTTAAAGGAGCAGATCCAGAATATGTTATAATACATTGAATAATTTAGGAGAAAAGTAATGCCTACGAACCCTAGTTCTTCAATTGACCGTGTACAATAAACTGCAACCTCCCAGAACACTATACTTTTTGAAATTCGAAATACAATTGGAGATCAAAATGTGTTATTTCAAAAGGAAATTATACAGTCGACTCTCGATATATTGCCGCATGAGCGATTTGGTCTTCGCATGGATTTTCAAGCATAATAGTGTCACTTTTATTTCTCTTCTCCCTTCTAATTGAAAACTTTTTATCTTCTACAGCTCCGTCTGCGGCGATATAACGAGATTCTACTGTACATCTAATGTCTCTTTAACATATGTTCAAAGAAACAGATTGCAATGTTGGGAAAATATAATATCGTGCGATTTCTAATGTTAATATTACAAATTGATTGCACGTGAATCGCGAATGATACGCGATCATCAATTACAAAGTCATCGTCGATGTTTGACAGGTGTTGCGCAAAGACGTTTCTATAAAACATCGAATTCCAGTTATTCACCTCGAAATGGGTCGAAAACTTTCTTCCGGTGATGAATGACTCCGGATACATTAAGTATTCTTAGGAGAATTCTGCAATTCAGCAGGAAGATA